AGGAACCGGACTGACGCTCCCCAGAATAGAAGGAGCTAGGTCCATAAGGACCTATTTAAAAAAAAAAAAAAAAAAAAAAAAAAAAAAAAAAAAAAAAAAAAAAAAAAAAAAAAAAAAAGAAAAAAAAAAAAAGAAAAGAAAAGAAAGTAACTGATTGGCATGGATGGCGGGAGTCAAGGGCTACTGCAGTAGTTATTATATGACAAAACGAGGCCAGCATGTCAGAACTCAAAAAATGACAGTAGCTAAACCTAACCCATTCTGAGCCATTCATTAGCAGGAGCTCTGGCCTCGCAGCCGAGCGCTTTCGCCATTGTCTGCAGGTAACAGCATTCTGAGGACTACCATCTTCACCCGAATGGAATGCCCGGTCATTATTGCTGTATCTAGATTCCAGACTGAACTTGCCCCAAATACAGGTATGATGATGGGGCCCTCTATTTGGGTGAAGACGGTAGCGCTGTGCAGGACTCCTGCTGCTGGGGTGTCACTGCAAGCGCTGCAGCGCTTTTCCAGTTTAGCCGAAGCGAAGTAAACGTAACTATGTTACTGTTAAGTAGCCCAAAACCAACAGAAGCCAATTGCTCAATCTTGGCATAGTCAGCCTAGTGTGTTATTCAGCAATCGCCCCTGTGAAGTTTACTGATGCAGTGAGGTCGTGAAGCAAGGAAGAACAGATGCACTGCACACAATGGGACTCGGTGACAGACGCCAAAAGGAAGTAGAGGAAGGGAGAACTCGTTCCGTACGACACTGAACTTGTTTGCATGTGAATTCATATGTCTCAGCCCTCCACTCCCCTGCCTAGAGCAGACCATGAAACTTATCAGACTCTCAGCTATTGTGGGTAGGATGTGATTGCACTCTTGTTGCCGTCTTTGTAGCAAATTGCAGGGTGCCAGGCTTCCTGGGCCATCAATGTCAGGAAGGCCAGTCCCATCTACAACACCAGTGCTGCATGGCAAAGGCATGTTGAAGACTTTGCCTTTCTCAGGTCCTTTGGACAGCAGTAAAAATGTTTTTGACGATTCTGGTAATGATGGTAATTGCATATGTCGTTCGTGCTTGCAGACCCCTGTGAGTCAGCAGTACCCAGGGCAAGGAAGACCAGTTGACGTGGCAAGGAGGTGGACAAGTGACAACAGTCTGAGGCAGAAACGGGGAAGGGAACCGTATGGGAGCTTCAGAGAAAACTCTGATAACAAAGAGAACAGAAATATTGATGATGATGGTGGTGACCGTGATGCAGTTGGGGATTTTGTGATACGGTCTCCAAAACGGGTTTGCTCCCCACTACAGGAGGCATCCTCAGGCACATGCCGTCGCATTAAGGATGTGGATCATGACCCGATATCCAGTGCTGGGACTGCTGCAGGTAAGTTTTTCCAAGCCTCAGCCAATGCAGTTGAGAAGGCAGACAAACTCCCGAAAGTTGTTCGGGGTGGCGAATGCTCTGTGAATGATTCGGGTGTTTCCATCCATCCCCTGCAGCCAGAATGTGGAGATAACATATGGAAAGGGCAGGCACAGAACCTGAATGCTGGCTCACATCAAGGCCACAGCAGTGACACCCAACATGGTGGCCACCTCATTGGCGAAGAGCAGGGAGGAAGTCCTGTGGGTGACACCAGACATGTTGGCCAATGCATTGGGCAGCAGCAGGGAGGAAGCCTTGCATATGGCATGGCCCTCGCCCAGAGCGATGGCTCAAATCATGGCAAGAGGTGTGTTCAAGATATCCCTGCAGGTGTCAAAAGAGTTGAGGCTAGTAGAGCAGATGGGGATGGTGGTGTGGACCTTTCTAACAACATCAAAGGCGGAATGTATGAACGTGTGCAATGTTGGGAACAGCTACAAACTGCACCTCATGGGAAGAACACTATTGTGGAAGATAGCATTGCTAGACACATTAGACATTCTGGCCAAGTGTTCAGCAAAGCAGAGGGTAAAGGAAAGGAGCAATGCACGCTTGGTGGTAGCAATGATCTGGATGGATTTGGAACAGACGTGGTATCATCGACAAGAGGTGGCAGGAACTCTGCTCGTTATAGCTATGGACCAGGGTCACGAGTACTATGGTGTGATCCAGAACCTGTCATGTCAGAGCGGAAGCAAAGACTCCTAACTGGTGGGGATGAGCAGGGTGGTGGGTTTACCTCAAGGGCGAATGGGCTAAGAGTTGATCAGGGGAAGGCTTGCAGCGAGAAGGCTAGATATCAATATAGGCTGGCTGAAGAGAAAATCCCATCGTATTCTGCAGAACTGAGAGACAAATCATCGGATCTATGGAGCTGTGACAAGAATGCTGTCCCTCAGCATCGCCTCCAACTCAGCGTTCCAGATAATGATGTGGTGCTCATTCCATCCAAGGTTAGTGCTTCTAATAAGCTGGCATTTGAAAGGGGCGAGACAACTGTTCTCCCTCGTGGTGGGGATGGAACTTGCATTTCAGGCATGTATGGAACAAGCTGTCTTGGATCTCAGTCTGGAAATTGGCATAAAATAGTTTCACCTTTGGAGGGCAAGCCGAAAGATGAAGCGACTCATTGTGATTGCCTGGATGCCAGCAAGGCTAAGCCTGACTCACAGGATGGACGAGGAGGGATGGCTTCTATCAATCATAACAGTAAGTTAGCCGCTGAAAGGTCCAGTGAAAATGATGGCAGAAATACGGGGAGGTCTTTCTCGATGAATCGAACTGGATGGAGCTTTCAGACAGCAAGTGGGAAGACTTTAACACCTTCTGTGAAAGGAATGAAGCGAGCATTGACCCTCCTTGGTGACCTTGTGTTGGATGGTGGCACATCTATTCAAGGTGCAAGGATAGAGGAAGAATCAACACTTATGGTTCGACCGGTATCTGGAAATATGAACGAGGATGGTTGTCAAGAGATCTCTCCCATGGCAGAGGAGCCCAACTTCTCCAATGATGCCTCTATCGTAGTTCTCACTAATCAAGCTCAAAGGCCCTCTCTGATGACAAAGAGGCATAAAGTAGTGCCCGTTTGCACTGAAGCAAAACAGGGAGAGGAAGCTCTTTCTGCAGATAATAAGCTTTCTGCGGAGGCTTATGCAGATGGCAGTGTGCACGGAGCTCTTTCTGCAGGCTGTAATGTAAATGGCCACTTGAATGTAGACCAACCCGCGGAAGGAGCGTGTGCTCAGGTGGGCTTTATAAGAGCTAGCGGGTGCGGCATGCCTCCTGTATCCAAAAGCTTAAAACGGAGAGTGGAAGCTCTTTTTGCAGACAATGATGTAAATGGCAATGTGGATGAAGGGAATTTGCAAGAAGTTAATGCTGCAGAGTTAGGCTTTATGATAGGCAGTGGAAGCAAACCAGTGCCCCCATCTGCAGAATCAATGCGGAAAGTGAAAACTCTTTTTGCACAGTGTGATGTAGAGGAGACTTTGGACAGCAGGGAGCTCCTGCAAGGGGCCATTCGAGAGCTTGGCTCTATGGCAGCGAAAGGAGACATGGTTGCACCTGCTTGTGAAGAATCCAGGTGTAGAGTGGCAGCCCCTTTTGCAGATTCCACTGCCGATCATGATGTGTGCAGAATGCAGTTCCAACGGGAGTGTGCCGAAGAGGTGGGTTTTGTGACACCAGAAGGACACAAAGTTGTTTGCCCATCTGCAGGATCAAAGAAGGAAGAGGAAGCTCCTTCGGCAGACTGCAACGTATATGGCATTGGAGGTGAAGGTAATCCCTTCGACAGAGCTCTTCCCGAGCTGAGTTCTGTGACACCAACTGGGTGTAAAGCCGCACCAACTCGTAAAGAATCAAGGGGAAGAGTGGAAGTTCGTTTTTCAGATCATGATTTCAATGGTCAGGCGCAAGAACGACCATTTGAAGAAGGGAGTGCTGCTGGGAAGGGCCCTGTGACATCAAGCAGATGTGAAGTCGTGGCCCAAACAGCAGAATCAGAGTGCATCAATGCTCTTTCTGCAGGCAGGAAGGCTGATGGCACGTTGTGTGAAGGGAAGCCCCTGGACGGAGCTCTTCCAGAAGTAAGCTTCCTGACACAAAGTGGATGGAAAATAGCACCTGGGCAGAGAGTGGAGGCTGCTGCGGAGCACTTCGTTGTGGCAAGTGGACATGATGTGCTGCCACCATGCCCAGTATCAAAGCAAACGGCGGCAAGTGGGCAGAAAGCCGCACCAGTTTGTCAGCAAGCGGAGCAGAGAGTGGAAGCTCCTTTTGCAGATTGCAGTGTTCGTGATTCTTTACGGCGAGGGCAGTCACGAGAAGAAACTGTTGCTGAGGTGGGCTTTATGACAGCCAGTGGGCACAAAATAGTTCCCCCATGTGCAGAATCAATGTGGAAAGCAGAAGCTCTTTTTGCAGACCATAATGTAGATAGTGCTGCACATGATGGGAATCGCACGCAGGGAGCTCTCTCGGAGGTAGGGTTTATGGCAGCAAATTGGTGCACCGTTGCACCGTTTTGCCACGACCCGGACCAGAGAGCTGGAGTTCTTTTTGCATATTGTACCGTGAAGGATTCTGTAAAAGAAGGGCAATTGCAGGAAGAGAGTGCGGCTGTGGCAGGCTTTGATACATCAGAAGGACGGAAATTAGCACATCCATCTGCACAATCAAAGCGGAAAGCAGAGGCTCTTTTTACAGACTGTACTACAGATAGTGTTGTCCGTGAGGAGAAACCCCTACAGGGAGCCCTCTCCGGTGTAGGGACTGTGGCAGCCATTGGGAGCGAAGTTGCACCGGGTTTCCAGGAATCACAGCAGAGAGTTGGGGTTCTTTTCGCAGATCGTACTATGAATGGTCGTGTACAAGAAGGGTTGTTTCACAAAGAGAGCACTGCTGCGGCGGTTTTTGTGACTGCAAGTGGGTGCAAAGTAGTACCCCCATCTGCCGAATCAAAGCGGAAAGCAGAATCTGTTTTGGCAGACTATAATGTAGATGGTGCTGTGTGCGAAGGGAAGCCCCTGCAAGGAGCTCTGTCAGAAATAGGATTCATGACAGCAAGTGGCCGCAAAGTTGCACCAGTTTGCCAGGAATCAAAGCAGAGAGTGGAAGCTTTTTTGGCAGATTGCTTTGTGAATGATGATGTGCAGAAAAAGAGTGCTGCGGCCGTGGCCTTTGTGACAGCGAGTGGGTGTAAAGTAGCACCTACATCTGCAGAATCAAGTGGGAAAACAGAAGCCCTTCTTGCAGACTGTAATGCGTATGGTGGTGTACATGAAGGGAAGCCCGGGGAAACAGCTCTCTCAGAATTTGGGTTTTTGACAGCAAGTGGACACAAGGTTGCACCGGTTTGTGAGGAATCAAGGCGGAGAGCAGAAGCTCTTTTGGCGGACTGCAGTATGAATGTTCATGTACAAGAAAGGCAGGTGCAGGAAGGGAGCGCTGCTGTCGTGGGCTTTGTGACTGCAAGTAATCGCAAAGTAGCACCCCCGTCTGCAGAGTCAGAGCGGAAAGCAGAAGCTCTCTTGGAAGACTACAATGTAGATGGGGCTGTTTGCAAAGGGAAGCCCCTGCAAGGAGCTCTATCAGAAGTAGGGTTCATGACGGCTAGTGGCCATAAAGTTGCACCTCTTTGCGAGGAATCAAAGCGCAGAGCCGAAGCTCTTTTGGCAGATTACTTTGTGAATGATGATGTGCAGAAAAGGCAAGTGCAGGAAAAGAGTGCTGCTGCCGTGGGCTTTGTGACAGCAAGTGGGTGTGAAGCAGCACCCCCATCTGCAGAATCAAGTGGGGAAGCAGAAGCCCTTCTTGCAGACTGTAATGTAGACGGTGGTGTACATGAAGGGAAGCCCTGGGAAAGTGCTCTCTCAGAACTGGGGTTTGTGACAGCAAGTGGACGCAAGGTTGCTCCGGTGCATGAGGAATCAAGGCGGAGAGCAGAAGCTCTTTTAGCAGACTGCAGTATGAATGTTCATGGACAAGAAAGGCAGTTGCAGGAAGGGAGCGCTGTGGTTGTGGGCTTTGTGACTGCAAGTAATCGCAAAGTAGCACCCCCATCTGCAGAGTCAGAGCGGAAAGCTGAAGCTCTTTTGGCAGACTATAATGTAGATGGGCCTGTTTGCAAAGGGAAGCCCCTGCAAGGAGCTCTCTCAGAACTAGGGTTCATGACAGCAAGTGGGTGCAAAGTCGCACCAGTTTCCCTGGAATCAAAGCAGAGAGCGGAAGCTCTTTTGGCAGATTGCTTTGTGAATGATGATGTGCAGAAAAGGCAAGTGCAGGAAAAGAGTGCTGCGGCCGTGGGCTTTGTGACAGCAAGTGGGTGTAAAGTAGCACCTACATCTGCAGAATCAAGTGGGAAAACAGAAGCCCTTCTTGCAGACTGTAATGTGTATGGTGGTGTACATGAAGGGAAGCCCGGGGAAACAGCTCTCTCAGAACTTGGGTTTTTGACAGCAAGTGGACACAAGGTTGCACCGGTTTGTGAGGAATCAAGGCGAAGAGCAGAAGCTCTTTTAGCGGACTGCGGTATGAATGTTCATGTACAAGAAAGGCAGTTGCAGGAAGGAAGCGCTGCTGTCGTGGGTTTTGTGACTGCAAGTAATCGCAAAGTAGCACCCCCATCCGCAGAGTCAGAGTGGAAAGCAGAAGCTTTCTTGGAAGACTACAATGTAGATGGGGCTGTTTGCAAAGGGAAGCCCTTGCAAGAAGCTCTATCAGAAGTAGGGTTCATGACGGCTAGTGGCCACAAAGTTGCACCTCTTTGCGAGGAATCAAAGCGCAGAGCGGAATCTCTTTTGGCAGATTGCGTTGTGAATGATGATGTGCAGAAAAGGCAAGTGCAGGAAAAGAGTGCTGCTGCCGTGGGCTTTGTGACAGCGAGTGGGTGTGAAGCAGCACCCCCATCTGCAGAATCAAGTGGGGAAGCAGAAGCCCTTCTTGCAGACTGTARTGCAGACGGTGGTGTACATGAAGGGAAGCCCTGGGAAAGTGCTCTCTCAGAACTGGGGTTTGTGACAGCAAGTGGACGCAAGGTTGCTCCGGTGCATGAGGAATCAAGGCGGAGAGCAGAAGCTCTTTTGGCAGACTGCAGTATGAATGTTCATGTACAAGAAAGGCAGTTGCAGGAAGGGAGCACTGCGGTCGTGGGCTTTGTGACTGCAAGTAATCGCAAAGTAGCACCCCCATCTGCAGAGTCAGAGCGGAAAGCAGAGGCTCTTTTGGCAGACTATAATGTAGATAGGCCTGTTTGCAAAGGGAAGCCCCTGCAAGGAGCTCTCTCAGAACTAGGGTGCAAAGTTGCAGCAGTTTCCCAGGAATCAAAGCAGAGAGCGGAAGCTCTTTTGGAAGATTGCTTTGTGAATGATCATTTACAAGAAAGGCAGTTGCAGGAAAAGAGTGCTGCGGTCATGGGCTTTGTGACAGCGAGTGGCTTCAAAGTAGCATACCCATCTGCAGAATCAAGGGGGAAAGCAGCCGCCCTCCTGGCAGACTGTAATGTAGATGGTGCTGTACATAAAGGGAAGCCCGGGGAAACAGCTCTATCAGAAGTAGGGTTTGTGACAGCAAGTGGGCGCAAAGTTGCAGCGGTTTGTGAGGAGTCGAGGCTGAGAGCAGAAGCTCTTTTGGCAGATTGCAGTAGGAATGTTCATGTACAAGAAAGGCAGTTGCAGGAAGAGAGCGCTGTTGTCATGGGCTTTGTGACAGGAAGTGGACCGAAAGTAGCCCTCCCATCTGCAGAATCAAAGTGGAAAACAGAAGCCCTTCTTGCAGACTGTCATGTAGATAGTGCTGTTCGTGAAGGGAAGCCCCTGCAAGGAGTTCGCACAGAGGTAGGGTTCATGACAGCAAGTGGGCGCAAAGTAGCACCAGTTTGCCAGGAATCAAAGCGGAGAGCGGAAGCTCTTTTGGCAGATTGCACTGTGAACTGTCATGTACAAGAAAGGCAGTTGCAGGAAAAGAGTGCCGCTGCTGTGGGCTTTGTGACAGCAAGTGCGTGCAAAGTAGCACCCCCATCTGCAGAATCAAGGGGGAAAGCAGAAGCTCTTCTCGCAGAGTGTAATGTCGATGGTTCTGTACATGAATGCAAGCCTTGGGAAAGAGCTCTCTCAGAAGTAGGGTTTGTGACAGCGAGTGGGCGCAAAGTTGCACCAGTTCATGAGGATTCAAGGCGGAGAGCAGAAGCTCTTTTCAAAGATTGTACTATGGCTGATATTTTACAGCAAGCCCAGGTGCAGGAAGACAACGCTTCTCTGGTGGGCTTTGTGACCGCGGGTGGGCGCAAAATAGCACCTGTATCCGCAGACTCAAAGCGGAGAGCAGAAGCTCTTCTTGCAGACTGTAATGTAGATGGTGCTGTTCGTGAAGGGAAGCCCTTGCAACGAGCTCTCTTGGAAGAAGGGTTCGCCACAGGTATTGGGCGCAAAGTTGTACCATTCGTCCGGGAATCACAGCAGAGAGTGGAAGCTCTTTTTGCAGATCGTACAGGAGATGATCATGTACAACAAGGACGATTGCTCGAGGGAAGCATTGCCGTGGTGGGCTTCGTGACAGAGAGTGGCCACAAAGTAGCAGCCCCATCTGCAGAATCAGAGCAACAAGGGCACTTGCAAAACGAGAGCTCAGTTGAGGCTGGATTCGTGACAGCAAGCGGACGCAAAGTAGTGGCCCCATCTGCAGAATCACGGCGGAAAGTTGAAGCTCTTTTTGCAGATTGTAGTATATACGGCAAGGTAGGTGAGGAGAAGCCCTGTGAAGGTTCTGAAGTAGGGTTTATGACAGCAAGAGGGTGTAAAGTAGCACCGGCTTGTGAAAAATCAAACCGGAGGGCGGGAACTCTTTTTGTGGATTGCAATTTGAACGATCATGTACGAGAAGGGCATTTGCAAGAAGAGAGCTCAGTTGAGGTGGGATTTGTGACAGCAAGTGGAAGCAAAGTAGTGGCACCATCTGCAGAATCGAAGCGTAAAGTAGAAGCTCTTTTTGCGGATTGTGATGTACATGGAACTGTAGGTGAAGGGAAGCCCCGTGATGGAGCTGTTCCAGAACTAGGGTTTATGACAGCAAGTGGGCGCAAAGTAGCACCGGCTTGTCAAGAATCAAAGCAGAGAGCAGAAGCTCTTTTGGAAGATTGTGAGTGTGTACAGCATGGGGAGATGCAGGCTGTGTGCTCTGCTGACTTGGGATTTGTAACAGCAAGTGGACGCAAAGTAGTGCCACCATCTACTGAATCGAAACGGAAAGCAGAAGCTCTTTTTGTAGATTCTCATGTAAATGGCACTGTAGGTGAAGGGCAGCCCTGCAAAGGAGCTGTTTTGGATGTAGGGTTTATGACAGCCAGTGGGCGCAAAGTAGCACCGGCTTGTCAGGAATCAAAGCAGAGAGTGGAAGCTCATTTTGCAGTTTGCACTGTAAATGAGCATGTACAGCATGGGCAATTGCAGGTGAAGAGCTCTCCTGACATGGGATTTGTAACAGGAGGTGGGTCCATAGTCGTTCCACTGTCTAATGAATCGGAGCGGAAGGCAGAAGCTCTTTTTCCAGAGTGCGATGTAGATAATGTACATAATATTCTACTTAAAAGGGCGTCCCTCGAAGGAGCTGATTCAGAAGTAGGGCTTGTGACATCACATGGGTGCAACGTAATGCCAATGTCTGCGGATTCGAGGAGGAAAGGGGAAGCTCTTTTTGCAGATTGTAATAATGCCAATCATAGGGTATGTGAAGGGCAGAGGAGAGAAGAGAGCACAGCTGAGGTAGGCTTCATGACGGGAAGTGGCCGAAAGCTAGTTGCCACTGAGGAGTCCAAACGGAAAGCACAAGCTCTTTTTGCAGACTGCTATATGGATGGTAACATGGGTGGGGATGACAAGAGCATAAGACGGCGAGTTGATCGAGAGACTGTCAACAATGCGTTGATTGAGGCTCCTTCTGAAGGTCAGGACGCAGAAGCAGTTTGTGACGGTGGGTGCATGCGCGGTTCGTCAGCAGATGTACTGCCCAAAACTGGCGCATTGACGAAGCTGTATTCGATGGAGAGAGAGACAGTAACAAATATTGATGCGCACGTGGACTCTCGTGATCCTGGACAAGAGGACAGGAAGTTAACTGTTGCAGATTCTAGTAATGGAATACAGTTGTTATTGAGAACACCGGCTCCTGTCATCAGAGCTGCTGTTTCTCCAATTGATGGTACAGCAGATGCTACTCCTCAATCAAGAGTAACCTTGAATACTACGAACTCAGGACTTGGGAAGCAATCAGACTGGCGATCTGTGGCTAGTGTTGGCCGTGATAGCAATGCAAGTGGCGGCACAGAAGGAAATGTGAGTGGAGGGCTTTCGGGAACAAATGTTAGTGGCAAATCATCCGGAAGAAATTCAGCACCATTTAAGAGGCCTAGGCGGTTGAGGTAAGCATGAGAAGCTATATATGTGTTGAAATCCCCTTGCGAAACTCGTGGGAATGTGAAAAGCGGGTGAGAAAAGTAGTTAAATTTAAGCTTTTCTTTTTTCATATTTTATTTTGTGATCTCTGTGATCACTGGGATGTCAATTTCATCAGATTGACACCATACTTGCCATCCGCCTGACCAGTGCACCAAGAACTGGTCTGGCAAAGAAAAAAGGAGTAAGAAGAGTGAAAAATGAAGAACACTACAACCTCACTAACCACACCAGAATCAAGAGGACGTTGAGAAAAGCCTAGGTGGATGCCCATCCACACTGTGGTCCAACAAAGCGGACGAAAGCAACCACAGCACCGTGATCCTTATACCGACCACTACTGGCAGCACCCAGTCACACAGCAGGAGGACTCTAGGAAAGGCATGGTGCGGGGAGGGCGGTTCTCGCAGCCTCTCGGGCCGTATCACCCTTACTGCATTCCCATGACCAGTCCAAAAGTTCGACACCGCCAACTCCTGCTAATCCTTCTGTTTCTCACCTACTTAGTTTCGCCCTTCAGTTAATCTACTCCTCTTTCTAATCTTCCCCCCTGTCAGACTATACAATCCCCTCATCACATCCCCTCGTCACTGTCATGATATCCTACTCTTGAAGAGAGTACCCCCAGCAATCTTCCCCCCTGTCAGACTATACAATCCCCTCATCACTTTTTAAGCTGTTTTTTCCTAAAATTCTCTCCCTCGGGGCCTCGACCCTTTACCCATCCTATGCTATACCCCTCCTATCCTCTCCATCCCATAATCATGCTCACTCATTGCCTGTGCCTTTTCACACGGGTCCACCCTAAATATTTTACAACTGTTCTCCCTATTTCCAACCTACCTTCTACGGAGCCATCCTAACTATTTTACACCTATTCTACTTCTATCACTTCCGCCCCCGGAACATGAAGTACCGCAGCGTTCCTATTCTGGGTCCTTTTCCGGCTGGGGCACGTGCCGCAGAAGAATAGGGCCGAGCTGTAACCGGCCCGTGTCAGGATCACGAGTCAACAGGTGCGGGTACTGATCCCATCTTTTCCAGAATTCCTCCACCTTCACACCCCCCCCGTGTGACGAGGCTGAGGCAGAGCAGCGAGGTCGGAGAAGAGAGAGGGAGGGAGTGAGAGCACACACACACACTCGCTCAACTCGACACGGACTCGACAAGACTCAACGGACGCAGACATGAAGCGGCAAAGTCGCAGAGTCGCAAAGTCGCAATCTTGATTCCGAACACAATGTCGCAGCAAGTCACACTGAAGCACTGAGGCCGAGAACTGAATCCCCCAAACTCAGCTTGAGTCCGGCCTTAAGTACCGGACTCAAGTTGAGTCCGAGGGCAGAAGTGCAATTTTTCTCGGGGCTCAACTGAAAATCGAAGGTCTGAGTCTGGGCGCCAGAATGCCGGATGGCGCCAAGTATCGAAATCCGAAAGTACCAGAGGAGGGATTTACGGGCGCCAACTGCAGAGGGCGCCAATAGTCAGGAACCGGAGATCGGAGACTCAAAATGAAATAGCAGCCTGGCGGGTGGAGGCCCGCGGACCAGGGATCGAGCCCTAGATCAGTCCGTAACACTATCCCCTCCCTCTAGAAGGCAACGTCCCGGCTGCCAAAGACCCAATAAACAACTGTGAAGGATGGGATGGGGCCGATCGCTGGTCAGAAAAGGAAAGGGGGGACTGCAAGTGGCAAGGTAATCCTATTGAGGTTCTACAAGGATGAGGGAATCAATGCTCAAGTAACAGGGTAATCCTATTGAGGTTCTATAGGGATGAGGGTATCAATGCTGAAGTAACAGGGTAATCCTATTG